TGAACCATGTTATTTCCTGGGGCAGTCTCCAGAATGCCCTGCATGGCAACCGCTGGATGTTTTGTGTTTTTTACCCAGCTCGTTCACTTTCCAGCCCCACTCCGCCTCCCCCTCCACCAGGTCACCCCCTTTACTTTCTGCGGGGGGGTGTTATGGGTGCCATTTCCTCCCCGCAGTGCAGTGCCCTGCCGGCATCCCGGGAGGCCCCTCCTCCCCCCCTCTCACATGCTCTCCCTCCCGTGTGCCCCCCCCCAGTTGCCATGGTGAGGTCTGATGCAGACAGCAAGCTTTTATCCCAAGCCAGAATGGGAGGGAAAGGGAAACAATGTACAACGGTGGCACAACAGTCCGAGACTGCTTTACACAGCAGATGCAGATTCAGCCATTGTATTGTCTCACTCTGCACTTCTTTCTTAGCTGTTTTTATAGCTATTGTATTATCAATCTCTAAATTTAAAGATTATTTTTTTAAATAGAATTGCTCTACTGAAGAGAGTACTATTTTAAATCAGATATAAAGTTAACACATTTCACAAGATATGAAACCATTACTGAAAATGTTTAATTAAAATAAAACACAAGATAAAATATGTTGTATGCTAGCCAATTAAATATCATATAAAGCAAAGCAAGAGGGCAGTTAAACTGGCCAGGGAGCAATTCGAGCTGAGAGGCTTCTGCAACACTACAAGCCAGCACTGTGGAGGTTGCCAAGCTCAGATGACCAGCAGCAACAAACAGGGTACAGGCTCACATGTTGCCACCATCCAGAAGTGCTGCAGGAGGAGGCAATGAATGAGCTGTCACTCGTTGTAGGCCCAACTTGCATAGTCCGAGCTGAATAGCCTGTGCAGCACTGCCAGAGCCACTGGGGCTTGGCTGTTCTTGCCTTTGGCTGCCATCGGCCCTCGGTGGCATTGGCCCACTGAGAAATTTCCCTGAATGCTAAATGGCCACTTTGTATTTAACAAAACCTTTAAAATATAATTTATGTCTGTAACTTTTACAACAGGAGAAAGAATGCTGGTTTTAGAATAGAACATAACAGTTGAACTTGTGGCAAAGGAAGTACTTTATCAATATATCTAATTTTCAACATGGCCCCATCTGTGGATAATTAAATCAAGAGACTGGGGCCATGGGCAGACAAGACAGATCTTTCTACAAACCCGAGAAAAGCCCCAGACTCTCAGAAAAATCTGATTTTTAAAAAACAGAGGGTTAAAACCCTCCAAAATGATATACACAGCTCCTGTAGTTTTAAGAAATAAATGTCCTCAGTGGTTTTTGCTAGGCCACCACAACACTATTGCCAACCTTCAAGCCTTGGTTTCCGTCAGTAAAACGTGGGTGGAAGTATGGGCCCTTTCCAGGGTTGTTTTGACCTTTGAGTCGTTGGGGCCAGGCATGGCAGCAAACACCAGGCAATGTGGTACCATACAGTTTTCATGATTCACCCAGGCCTGGCTGCTTGCTACCATTTGCTATTGTTCAACATCAGCCACCTCACAATAGCCAGTGTGGCATAGTGGTTAGAGTTTCAGATTAGGATCTGGGAGATCCAGGTTCAAATCCCAACTCTACCATGGAAGCTTACTGTGTAACTTTGGACCAGTCACATACTCTCAACCTAGCCTACCTAACAGGGCTGTTGTGCGGAAAAATGGAACAGCTGCTTTTGGTCCCCATTGTAGAGAAAGGTGGGGTAACAATGAAGTGAATAGATAATAAATATAGCTGGAGGGGGCAGATAAAATGTAGGCTGATGGGTGGGTGGGAAGGAGGCAGAAAGCAGTGAAAGGTGAGAATATAGAAGGAGAAAATAGTGAGTCTATGGAAAGAGGAAATAATGTGGAGAGGGGGATAAGCGGAAATTGAAATGCCCCCCACAAGTATTTGCAGGTTCTCCACCACACTACTGGGCCCAGCCTAGCTGGCACCTTGCAACTAGACTGGCATCACACAACTCGGCCATAGTTTTCCTGGGTAGAAGCTGCTGGGGGAGGGAGAGACAAGGAATCAGGAAAGGGGGAGAGACTATGGGTGCTTTCAAGGAAGGGGGGGAAATAGAGGGGGAGGGGAAAATAAGATATTCCCCACAAGCCCTTGTGGATTCCCTGCTTACCTGTACCTATTGGCCTGAAAACAGGATTCAAGTATTCTTTGTACAGAGTTTGCCTTACATAGATGGAAGATATGGATTCTCAAAAAGGAAAACAAATGCATATGGGATATTTGAGAAATGGCACAGGGTTGAGAGGGGTATCTTACTGTTGCCAAGTGTTCATTGAAGCTTAGGCTGTGATTAACTGTTTACTGTACAAGCAGTGATATATAATGGAGGAGGAAAAAATCCTGGCTAAGTAGGCAGAGCATGATGGTGACTCCTATTCCCCACCCTCAGATAAAGGATGGAATCTGAGCTTCTGATGGGAGCGGAGCTTTACCACAAGAAGCCACATCTGAATTTTGCCCGTTTGCTCTAGAAACCGTTACCCAAATTGCCACATACCCTATAAACCATTATCTATGGCCCATGAGAAGCAGTGGACTATTCAGTGGTAAGAGACAGGCACTCTGCACATGGTCATTCTTTTCTGTGTGGTTGTTTCATATCTTCCAGGGCTCAGCCACCGAAACAGACCCCTGGGCAAAGGCATGGGGAGCCAACATTCAGAGGAACTTTGGAAGCAAGATGGTTTCAGAAGCCCTAGTTTAGATTGTTCTCTTTCACACTGCATCACTCTTGCATGCCTATTTCTTCATTTTTATCACTAACCCCTACACCCTCTGGGGAAAACCATTTTCGAAACTACAATGTCAAGAAACAAAAACCTACTGTAAACTTCCCCAAAAAGAAGTGTCAGAATTAGGCTATTTTTAGACTGGGTACTAGAAGCAACGGACAGTTAATTCACCTTCTATAGAAAGTCACAAAACCTGAAAAGACAATACGCTGCAGAATAGCTGTTCTGGATTTGGACAAGGGAGATCCTGGTTCAAATATCCATTGAACGCTCACAGAATTATGTATGTATTGCACCATGATATTTTCACAATGGAGCCTTGGATGGACAGTTACAGGTGTCATCATAAGACTAAGATGGAAACCATATAGAATAGGCATGAGGGAAACTAGTGGGACCTCTCAGAATTTATCATATCCAAATATTTTGAAACAACTCCAAAATCAATTCTTAGGGAGTTTTCCCTCTGGCTGTGGCACAAGAACAGAGAAAGGTACCACAATTTGGATTCCATTGCTGCTCCAAGCCAGAGTTATCTGACCAGGTCCTGGAGCTGCTTTGATTCTTTCCTCTTCCTTTCCAATACAACATAAAACTTTTGTGCTCCCTTGCAGAATCTCCCATAGTACCAATGGAGCATCCATTCCTTCCTGTCTCTGTCCATTCACTCCATCCTATGGAATTCCAAAGCTGGTAAATAACACCTGTGTCCTGATCTCAGCCCCTGTGGCATCAGCCACAGGCTTGGGCTCACCCGTTGCCTCCTCCTGCAGACTGACAGCAGTGCAGGAGGAGGTGCTTGGTGAGTGACACTGATCATCATTGCTGCCGAAGGGGCTGAGCCAAGTGACCCCGAGATACTGGCAGCATTGCTGAGGCTTGGTTCTGCTTGTTCCTAGTGATCGGCGGTCCTCCAGGGTAGTGACCCAGCAAGAAATTTCCATGTAAGTTAAACAGTTAGTGCTCCCCTGATAGTGCCAGTGAACAGAGGCCCAGTATAGATGACCAAATTATTCTTGGATGAGCTTTCTCAGGATAGCATGGTCATCATCACCAGTCTGCTAAAAGGTAAGAAGAATTTTACCGCATTTGGGCTGCAGGTGTGTGAATATCACCTAGAACGATCAGCACTCAAAATAGTGTGTAATCCTATACATATGTGAAAGGTAAGCCATGATCCCGACAACTCACTTCACCTTCCATTGGCCACTTGGGAAGCTGCTTTGGTGTCCTGCTGGCCCGTCCTGCCAGTAACTCCATTCTTACACTCCCACTTTTGACGCGTTGCACCTAGGGAGTTATAGTTCTCAGCTGGCCTTACTGCAACCATAGCAAAGGGAATTAGAACTACAGCTCCCAAGTTGGGAGTCCCAAGAGGCCATGGGGCATTAGCAGGGTAAGTAATCAGCCGGTGTTAAAGGGGAAGCAGCTTTGGAAGAGGTTGAGGGGAAAGGGAAATTTAAAAATCCTGACTGCATCTCCAGCTCCTGATCACAGAAGGCAAGGACACCCAAAGAGGGCCTTAGAACACAACCTTGGTGGTACAAATATATACTGTACAGAATAGGGTTGCCAGGTCCCTACCTTCTGCCAGCGGGGGGATGCCGCTTCCCTTCCTGGATCTTCTGGTGCGTGTGTGCAGCGCATGCGCCGTGATGACATCACCCAGAAGTGATGTCATCGAGCTAGGCACGTCATCAGGGGATGCTCTAGCATTTGGCCAGAAACTCTATGGTACCATAGAGGGCTTTTTTGGCCGAGTGCTAGAACTTTCCCCGGCGACAAGCCCGGCACAATGACGTCACCTCAGGGTGACATCATTCCGCCAGGCACTTTGGTGCGATCCCAGCACTTGGAGGGCAGGGTTCCCCCACCAGCCAGATCCAGGGGAACCCTAAAGCGGGCAAACCCCGCCCCCAGTGGGTGAATGGCAAGCCTAGTACAGACTCACTTCCATGAGGCAGAGATGCACGTAGGATTGCCAACCTCAAGGGGGGGGGAGATTTTCTAGAATTAAAACTGATCTCAAGTCTATAGAGATGAATTGCTCTGAAGAAATTGGCTGCTTTGAAGGGTGGGCTGTGTGGCATCACAGCTCCACTTCCCCCAAACCTGCCCTTCCCAGCCCCTGTCCATGAATCACCAGGAATTTCCCTACGTGGCATCACAGCTCTACTGAACTCCACTTCCCCCAAATCTGCCCTTCCCAGGCCCTGTCCATGAATCACCAGGAATTTCCCTGCCCAGAGCTATCCACCCTACTACAAAGATCAGTTCCCCCAGAGTAAATGGTGGCTTTGGAGGACAGAATCTATGATATTAGATCCTTGCTGAGCTCCCTCCCCTCTCCAAACTTTGTCCTCCCCAGGCACCACCCCTAAACTTCTTGGTTTGTTTGGCATCTTTCAGTCTCTCCCCACAGGAACTTCTGTGTCTGGTGCCTGTTCTGCTGTAGTTGTTCCTGGAGTGCCTTTTCCTTATTGGCACTCCTCTGGGACAAGAAGCACTTCCTTCTTCTTACGTATGGTGCTGCATCCTGAATGAAACAGGTTCAAAACAAGCTGGTAGGATCAGGCCATTGTGTCTGCCATTACATTCCTTACCCATAGTAAAGAAGCTGGAGGTCAATTCAGTATACATACCCAGGAAAGCCTATACCTAGAATTAAACTTAATTGGTATTAAAGGTGCTGCTGTTGGTTCTGAAAATCAGTTAAGTGCTGGCTTGCCACAAGCCCCTGGCTCCAGCGCTCTGCACCAGCCTCTGGGGATTTCTGCAGCGTTGGGAGAAGGGGGAAGAGATGCAGATGGTGGGGCTAAGCACAGGAGGAAGTACTCATTTGCTTTCAAAATCGGGGAGGGGGAGAAATCCACCCCCTGCCCACCTGCAAGCCTCTTTGCAGTGCCTACAAAACAGAAATAGGTGAGCTGGCCTCAACTTAAGCCCTAATAATTGTGTGTGTGTGTGCAGCCTGTTTACTTGGGAGTATGGAAGGGAGAGAGACACACTACAACACCCACTCAGTGGCTTCTCGGGCAGGCACCTAAGAAAGGAATAGTTAGTAAGGGAGAGATTGGAGTGGGGGCACAGCGAAATCGATAGGGAGCATTGCAAAATTGATAGGGGGTGCTGCCTGCACTGCCCCCACGCTGGCTATGGCCCTGCCAGGAGTGGAGGCCCCTGGACGGGGCTCTGTTGGCCTCTGGCTTTGGCTGCACCCAGGGCTCGCCTGCGATGCCTGAAGTTGTCTTCTCCCCACTCAGTCAATGACGGCTGAGGCGGATGTTGTGGAGGCAGCAAGGGTGGGGGGAGTGAATGCCAAGGGTCTTATTCCTAGTGCTTAAATATTGTAAGATACCATATAACATGGCACAGCAATGAGCATTCATGAATCCTCTCCTTTTCCTTTCCCCTTCCAAAAATGCTTGGTCAGGGTGAAAGTAGATTAAGAGTATGGGTTAGATCCAGCCAGTTTTTCTACTCAGTACTGTCCAGTTGTGTCCTCTCTGCTACAGACCCTGTCTCAGATGGTTTTTGCTCATGCAGCTGCTGTGATCCTGACCTGTTTGGGTAATCAAAGAGGACCCCTCCTTTTTTTCACCAGCAGAAAATCTGGTGGGATCCAACCCTGTATCTTTCCATAGGTCAATTTTCGCTGCATGCACCTGCCATTAGCAACAAAGAGCAGAGAGAGAAGGCAATGTTACGAGTATTATTATGCTACTTTCTTTTGCTATATTTCATATAATTGTTTCACTACATTTGTAATTTAAGACAAGAAAAAGGATCACTGTCACCTTTGAAAGACTCTGCAGCTCTGGTTTTGTAGCAGTTTTAAATGAGAAATACACAGAAGATTTCACAACCCTCTTTGCATTACATTTCCTCGTTCAGATATTTCCTAAGTTTAGGTGGATTTATATGGTGTTTCATGTGCATGGAATACATGGAATATGGAAAACCAGATCAGACTGGAGCGTTAGAGAAATGTTGCTGGCTCAGAAGTACATAACTGTTATTTAGGGATTAAGCACTGAAAAAAATGAAAATCAGAAAAGTGCACTGGAAAGCTGACTAAGGATTTCTCAGTTCAGACAGATGCTTCCCCGTTTGCATCACACAGTTAGATAGGGATATCCAAGAAATTTGCATATATGGGTGGCATAATGCATTGGGCAAATTTCTGATTACACCTTCTAAAGGATGCATTGCTGTAGTTTCAGGGGTTTTAAGCAAAAGTAAAAGGGGAGGAAAAGGGAGAAAAAGGGAGTACTGAGTGGCTTCTCATGAAAATTCCCCAATTTGCTTGTACCACATGTCATTGAAGCAGAGGACCCAAAAGCCTTGCCATGCAATGAGAGCAAAAGTCCTGTTTCTTCATGCAAAAATATTTCGTAGCATCTAACCAAGCTGATCAGTCATAAGCGAAGTGGTAATTACCCATGGTTACAACAAGTATGATCTCGTGACCGTAAGTTCACTCAGCCCACAAGAACTCCTTCCTGCAATGAAGTGGCTAAGAAAATTACTTTGGGGCCTATTTTTCCCCTTTCATCCGCATCGTTTTTATGTCCGGACCAATGTTCCCTCTAAGCTGTGGAGACTTGTGAGCAAAAATTCTACTTTGTGAGCTACTGGCATTAAAGTTGTGAGTGAGCGGTTTGGCTACTGCATAGATCAGTTTGCTCTGGAGCCCTCCTTCTTGAGCTAAGACAGAAATGTGTGAGCTGGAGGCTAAAAAACTGTGAGCTAGCCCACACTAACTCATCTTAGAGGGAACACTGGTCCGGACACTAGATTAGTAGTATATTAATAATCAAGAATTGTATGCCATCGGGCCACAATGAACTCACAGCAACCCCAGGACCGTGGGGTCTCCAAGGCAAGAGATGAACAGAGGTGATTTGCCATTGCCTTCCTTCACACAGCGGTCCCATCCAAGTATTAACCACGGCCAACCCTGCTTAGATTCCAAGGTCTGACAAGATCAGGTTAGTCAGGACTATTCAGGCTGCTGGTAATGTTAGCATTTTCTATTTTATCAAGACCTTGTAATCATCTGCAAAAAAGCTTATGTTGGCTGCGCAAAGAAAAAACACTACAGCATAACTACATTAGGGAAATCTCTTTGGAAATCTTTATTTTGATTTGATGTTCATTGATGTTTGCATTTGTTACTTTTATAGAACTTTGCATTGCACAAACCTTTCAAAATCCTTCCACAGAAATGTCTTACCCAACCAAGATTCAGGAATTGCTACAGGGAGCAAAAATCCAAGATGTTTAGTTATTAATTTATTGATTTATAGGTCTCCTAGACCCAGGTATTTTGGGTTTCCCCAGCGGGGACCCAAAGTGGCTTAAAAATTGTTCCCCTTCAGTCCATTTTAACTTCACAACCCTATCAGGTAGGCTTGGCTGAAGAGAGTGACTGGCAGAGTGGGGACCTAGGGTTGCCAACCTCCACCTGGGGCCTGGACATATCCCAGAATCTCCAGACCGCAGAGATCAGTCCCCTGGAGAAACTGGCAGCTCTGGCAGGCAGATTCAATAGTATACCATAGATTCTAGAAGAAATCCCTCCACAAACCCTGCTCCCAAATCTCCTCAAATTTCCCAGGCTGGAGTTGGCAACCTTACTCTAATGATACATCCGGCTGCCTATTGTGCATCATTATAAGGATGGTGTACATTATCTGCCTTTCCAAATGTTGCAGAGGAATCAGTAGATCAGGAAGCAGAATTCAGCCGCACATCCTTTTTGGCAATTGTGAAGAATATGCAAAGCTGCTCTCCATTTCATTATTGGTCTTGGAAACTCTACCCACCAGAGATCTGTATTCCAATGAGGGTCAAGAGACCCCAATCTTGCCAGGAGTTGTTGGTTTTCTTTAAATTCACTTTAGTCCCTAATTTACACCTTAACAGGAAGAGTTTTCAGCTAAACATTAGGAAGAGCTTCCTGACAGTTAGAACAGCTCTCCTTCTTTGGAGGTTTTCAAACAGAATCTAGATGGCCATCTGACAGCAATGCTGATTCTGTGAACTTAGACAGATCATGAGAGGGAGGGCAGGAAGGGTTGCCTCAGTGCTTAGTTCTTGTGGCCCTTTCTTACATGCCCAGGGAAATGCTAATCACCACTTTGGGGTCAGGAAGCAATTTTTCTCCAGGCCAGCTTGGCTGGAGATCCTGGAGGTTTTTTGTCATCTTCTGGGCATGGAACAGCGGTCACTAGGGGTGTGGAGGGGGAGGTATTTGTGTATTTCCTGCATAGATTACCCTGAAGGTCCCTTCCAACTCTAGGATTCTATATAAACAAATCAGAAGGTTAAGTGAGGGCAGGTGTCACAATCTCATTAAGAAATAATGCAGCAAGCCCCAATATACCCTCACAACGGGCAAAGAAACAGCAGGCCCATGTCCACCCAGTCAGCTTCATGCCTGCACAGAAAGCTGAGGAGGGCTACCCAATATTCTCTGTCATAAGCTTACAAATACTACTACAAATGTTTTTGGGCAACAGGGAGAAACAAATGAGTAATTGAAACAAATGGATTTTTAAAATCATGCTTCAACCATATTCAGTTCCTCTTTTATTTATACTAATACAGCTACCCCAATGGAACAACTTCACATGTTGAAATTTCCGTAAATACATATTACGGACTGGTACTGTGGAGCTGCTTAGTGATTCTGGGTCAAAGTCCAGGATGGGGCCCTGAATCACTTACACCCCCTCCTCTTCACCCCCACCAAAGCCAAACAAGGGATGGTCCACATCACCCCATGTTAGGTGGCCAGGAGCCATCACTGCCACTGGCAGCCAGCATCCAGAGCCCCGGATGAGTTAGGTGCAAGCAGTGACAAGAGCCTCGTCTTCTTCTTTCCCCCCTCCATGTGGGGTAGGGCTATGGGTAGTTGTCCCCTACAAGTGTGGGGCTCAAGGCAGCTACCCCTTTTGCCCATTGGCTAAGACCTCCCTGGTTAAAATGGTGACATCTGGAGTTCATATGAATCTTTTGTCAAAAATAATTTTCACTGTATGTATCAAGGGTCAGTTGCCGCTAGTGGTTCTTGAACTGAGGGTTATGAGTAAAATGGGCTAGGACTCTCTTGCAGGTGGGTAGCGAGGCTCAAGTGCCTGAACTCCAAGTGGAGCCTCTGGGTCACCTTCTTCCTAGTCACTGGAAAGGGAGAGGGCAGAGTTGTTGCATTCCCTTCTACTACTATTCTCCTTCACTCTGTGGCACTATTCATTCTCAGAAGCTCAGCTCACATCCAAGCACCAGATGTGTGGGAGACAGTACCTGTAGCCTTCTGGATCCATATTGCCAATAGCAAGGTCCAAGCCAAGCCCCACCAGCAGCATTGCCAAGTGTGAGAGATTTGGCTTGCTTCTGATTAGCAGCATCGCAGGAGGTGACGCGCATAGCATATACCTGTTGCCCCCTGACTCCAACTGAACAGCACTCAGGCCCAAGCTGAGGCTTAGATTGCAGCACTGCAGTGAAGTTCCCCAAAACTACAGAGCTGGACCCCATTTCAAACATTTTGAGAACTACTGCCACAGAAAGTTTTAATGGTGTACCCAAAATTTAGAGAAAAATAAATCTCTGTTTCCAACCTCAGGGTAGTAGAAGTAGAAAAGAAAGATCTAGCCTGAGGTTAAGATGGAGGAAGACAGAACAATATTGTAAGGCATTCTGGGTTCCTGTTGGGAAGAAACATGAGGTATAAATTATCTACATAAATAAATGGGGGCTGCACACAAAACCTTTGGGGGATTTCATAGAATGTTAGAGTTGGAAGGGACCTTGCAGGTCATCTAGTCCAACCCCCTACACTATACAGGAGCATAGCCAAAATAGAGCCCTACAACATACCCGAAAGATGGTTGTCCAGCCTCCGCTTGAAAACGTCCAGTGAAGGAGCATCCACCACCTCCTGAGGCAGACTGTTCCACTGCTCAACCACTCTTACAGTTAGGAAGTTTCTTCTGATATTTAGCCGGTAACGACTCCCTTGTAATTTCTACCCATTAGATCTAGTCTTGTAATCCTGAGCAAGAGAGAATAGATCTGCTCCATCTTCTACATGACAGCCCTTCAAATACTTGAAGACTACAAGCATGTCCCCTCTAAGCCTTCTCTTTCCCAGGCTAAACATACCCAACTTTTTCAGTCTTTCCTTGTTATGCTGATTCAACCTGACACTGGCAAGCTCCCCAGGGCCATAGCAGTCCTTGGTAGCCCAAATCATAGACTGGCATCTACCAGGATGCAAATAACTTTTAAGTATATGAAAACTATATTTTTCCTGGTTCTTTTGCACTGATTCACCACACAATCCTCTTGTGGTATTCCTACTCATTCATATTATAAAGCACAAAATGGCGGGCATTCACTGATTGCTTCTAACCATGCAAGCGAAGTGTGTGTCCCTATAAAGGGGGAGCATACATGGAAGGACACCAACATGTCTCTATGTGTTTTGCACACTGGGATCCTAACGCTACCCTGTAGGATCCAAGGCAGTAAGGACTGGGACACCCAGTGGCAGGGTTGGTAGGCAGGTTTTTACCATCAGTGTAACATGGTCCCTAACTGCAAAGGTTTACTCCCCCCCCCACCGCCATCAGTACAGATAACAACACCAGTCATTTATGTGAGAGAAAGGAAAAGAGCAGCTAGGGAGGCCACTGTGTCAATGGTTAATCCTGTTCCTTATCCCAGTGATCCCAGCCATGAAAACCCTGTGTGGTGTAGTGGTTAGAGTGTTGGACCAGGGTCTGTTAGACCCTGGTTTAAATCCCCCCTCTGCCATGGGCGCTCACTGGGTAACCTTGGGCCAGTCATTCTCTCTCAGCTACCCTACAGGGTTATTGTTATGAGGGTCAAATGGAGGAGGTTTCAAGTGCTCGAAACTGAAAGTCGATTTGATGTCATTAAATTACTCAGACAATTGTAGTTAAAGATGCTTCACGTCCCCATTAGGGAGAAAAGTAGGATATAAATATATACATTAAAATATCCAAACAGCTACCAATACAGCTACCAATAGGTTCTGGGGTGTGTTTTTTTTAATCACATTGAAGTGTGTGACAGAACACTGGGAGAGATGTGTGAGAGCCTCGGAAGAATTAATTTGCAATTTCTCAGTCTCTTCCAGTAGGATTCCACTTAAAAGACAACCCAGATAGCTTCAGAGAGTAGCTCTGTTGATCTGCAGTAAAGCAGTTAGATTCGAGTCCATCCAGTAGCACGACCAACAAGAGCTTCAAGGTATAAGGTTTGGAGAGTCCAAGCTCCCTTGGTTAGACGCGAGTAGAAACGGAGATCTCGGAGTCCTTTTACTCTAGTCGAAACCAGAATATTCTGAGTGGGTCCCTCTGATTCCCATGGACTGTTGTCCATCGGCTACAAATGCTTGAGAACTACTCCAACGAAAAACTGATCTCTCTTTGCTTCTTGGCCCGCTCCGTGTGTTACTCCCCCCGACTCCCCCTTTGTCATTCCCCACGCCAAGTAAGGGGACATAGCGGAATCTCTCCCGCTTCATGAGTGACGCAGAAGGGTAGTTCTCCGTAATTGGGGGTGATCCCCATCTGAAAGATGCTAATCGGCGATGTGACCTCATTCCAGTGTTTCCCAGCACACCTCTGCCTCCTGGAGTGTTCTTCAAACAATTTCAATTTTCTCAACGCTGGAGTTTCCCCCAGGCCGGTGAATAAGATCAGCCCCTTCCAATAAATATCAGTTCAGAGATGCCCTGCCACAACAACAGACTGCCCTTCAGCCCCTCCGGCCACAAAACTACGTACTTGAGCGAGAAAGACGAGGGGAGCCGCCGACATCCCATAGGAAACCATGCCCCCTCTCGTGGAATGTGAGTGAGCGAGCCGATTAGCGGCGCTTGGGGCTGCCTCCTTCTGCTTTTCGTAAGGGAGCGTCTACGACTTGGTCACACCGCTGCAAGCGCAGCTGGCGGGAGCCTGACTTTTACAACTTTGTATTTTCTCTCTTTCTCATCAGGCTGCCTTTTGGCTGCCGCTGCCCTCCCGTTACTCCTTGGGGCCAGCGCGTCGCCTATTCTGGATTCTTCTGGGGAAGAGCAATTTAGCGAGGATCCCTCTTCCAGGACTTCGCCAGCCAGAGACTTGCAGCTGGCCAATTGCAAGTATCTGGCCATTATGCTCCGGAGAAAGGCTTTCACTTGGAAGGAAGAGGTGAGTGAGCTGAGGAGTGCTTTGAAGAGCTGCCAGGGATTCGGGCCGGGAGGGCGAAGTTTGCGACTTTCCCAGGGTTGGGTAGCCCAGGCTCCACAGGATGGAGAACCCCAAGCCAACGCAAACAGTTTCTGGTAATGCTATTAAGGAAACGGTTCTGTCCTGGAGTGTTCATGTGCTGAGAGATGGGAAGGATAAGAGATCAAGTCACAAACGTGAATAAGTTAAGGTGGCAATGACATAAAGGGAACACACCTGTCGTTTGTTCGCTTCAAGGCCGCTATGCCTAGAAAGAGAGAACATCAAGGCCCTGGAACCGCAAAGAGAAAAGCAAACTGGGTGGGTGAACTTCTGGTGTGATCACAGGTGAAAAGAGGCCACACTATCGGGCCATCCTGCCTGCCTGCCTGCCTGCCTGGAGGAAAGGGTGCCTCCGATTTCAGGAGATGCTTAATCACTGCCACTCCTTGAAGTTTATTCTCATGAATTTGGGTCCTCCATCTGCTGCTGCATTTTACAGCAAGCTTCAAGGAGAAGGTTATGTTTACCCCTGGCCTGTCTCACCTGGGACTGATTGTATTTAAGGTGAACACTGCCTCAGGCCAGGAGACATTTTTCTGGCTAGGCCAGAGACAAGAGTTTACCTTTCCCAAGGAAAAGGCTAGAAATAGCATTCAGCACTTACATGGTCTTGGACCTGGCAACATTATCTAAGTTGCTGGAAGACTAACCTTTGCAGAAGCAAATATGGCACTCAGATAAGAAGCAATGATGTGTCTTCAGAAGGTGGTATTAAAAAAATGGGCCAAACCTGTTCCATAAGAAAAGCATGATAGAAAATGCTGTGGATCTTTTGTAGTAAACTTCAACAACAGTTATTTATACCGTACTGCAGTTTTGTTAAAAAAACAAAACAAAAAAACCCAACAAAAATCTTAAAGGCTCATTCAATGGCTGTGGGATAACTTCTGACAGAACATTACAAAACTGGTAAGGACCAGTTTGGATACAGATAGTAATTAGTTGAACTTTGTTTTGAGATACTGATATATATTAACAGGAAACCTGTTGTACACACCTGCAAATACGCTTTTGGTGCCTCCATAGCCTTCTATCCTTTCACTCCCATCCCTCTATATACACCCTTCCCCATTAGTGGAACTGGAGTTACAGAGGCAGAAATCTTACAATTAAAGGTAAATAATATTAGGTATTATAGCAGGGGAATAATTCAGAATGTTGGCTCTTCTATAACATCTTCATGTATTGTTCACAGTTTAGAGTATGCATTATTCTCATCCCTCCCCTTTTTTTGTTTTGCTCTGCTTCTTTTCCTGTCCAAAATGATATTCATATTATACCTCCCATAGGATGTTGGCTGTCATACCCCTATTTTTTATTTATTGACTTTATTTATAGTTGGCCTTTCTCACTGAGGCTCAAGGCAGATTACAGTCTAAAATCAATAGCATGAGACTTCCAACAAACAATGCAGTAGGGCTAGGATCACAAAAATTAGAAATGATGCAGAACAAAAAGTATCAGCCATGTTCTGTCGTAAGCAGTGCAAAAAATGGAATTATGAAAGTGGGAAACCATGCAGTAAGAGCAAGGTAATGCATACAATGAAGAGTGGAACAGACTACAATCTTGTTCCTTATAGGACATGCACCACTAATACTCTGGGATTCACTACATGGATCAGGAGACCCCTTAGAGATGCCAGCCCCAGGCGGGTCCTAGGGATCCCCTGGAATTACAACTCCTCCAGACTACAGAGGTCAGTTCCTCTGGAGGAAATGGATCCTTTGGAGGATGGACTGTATGGCATTGTACCCCACTGGGTCCCTGTCCTCTCCAGGCTTCATCCCCAAATCTCCAGGAGTTTATCAATCTGGATCTGGCAACCCTACACCCCGCCATCCCCTGCTGGTGGCCAGGGGAGGCCTGGCAACCCTAAGCCCCCCCCCCCGGCAATTCTGGGCCAACCCTTTTTTTATTTATTTAGGCTCAACATTTTGTGATATCTGTTGCACAGTGAATAAAACTGGCTTCCATGTGGTGGTTGTAGTATGTGCTTCTGCCCTTAGAATGAACAGATCAGGATTTGGAATTAAAGTACATCAAGTAACTGTTCAGTTGAAGTCACAGTTCTGGTGAATGTGATCAATATAGTCTGAACTCATATCTATCATCCAGGGATACTATTGTACCACTGAGGCTTTCACACATACTGCCGTGGATTTTTATCCCCCCCCTTCTTTCCAGACCCTGACATCTAATAGTAGGTGGTGTGAAAGACCTCTCCCTGTGACCCCAAAGAGAGATGGTCATTCAGAGAATACACACTGCAGACTTTGATAGACCAATGGTTAGACAACAGTTGAAGGCAGCTTCATATGGTCACATGAGACTGTACTTGTAGCTGTTTAAACAACAGCATTGGGGTCCTACTATGTACAGTGGGGGGATCAGGCAAAATCCCTCCCCCTTACTCTTACCATCAGTAGAGTAAGATGAGCTCTGAGACCCACTCCACTAGCACAAGAGCAGATGGTACTGCCCAGTTCTTGAGTTTGGTATAGTGGTTAGGAGTGTGGTTAGGACTGGATTTTATTTCCCTCTTCCACATGCAGCTGCTGGTGTGACCTTGGGTCAGTTACAAGTTCTTTCAGAGCTGTTCTCTCACAAGCAGTTCTAGAAAGAGCTCTCTCAGCCCCACCTACCCCACAGGGTGTCTGTTGTGGGGAGGGGAAGGGAAAGGAGATTGTAAGCCGCTCTGAGACTCCTTCATGTAGTGTATAAATCCAATCTCTTATTCTCTGCACTGAATCTCCCACTGGGCCACCTGGCATTCAGTAGAGGGTTTCTGGTGTTCACACAGGGCTACTGATAGGAAGTTGTGCTCAGTGTAAACCAATCCTAAATCTATTTTCTATATGTGTTTCAATTTAATTTAAACCAGGCCTACTGTTGCTATGCTGATCAGGGTGACTGCAGGAGTCAAAAGACCACAGGAAAAACTATGATCCAGTGAGAACTGATGAAGAATTTTATCATTACATATAATGTATATTGATAGCTTAGAATATAGTCATATTGAAGTGCTCATGTAATAAAGGTTCTGTGCTTTTTCTTCCCACTATAGCTGTGCAAGGAGCAAACAATATGTAAAAACAACACAGAAATAATACTCCAGAATAATCTCCACTTTCCAAAGATCTCTGTGGAAGATGAATGTCCTCCACGTAAATTCAACAAGGCAAGAAAATAATTACTTACCGTGTGATATTTGTATGCTTTATCATCTGACTAACACATGTAAAATAGTAGTTTTGCTTATGTTGTCAGCCATCCAGTCATAAACTCAAATCCTGCAGTAGTCTGTTGGTGCAAGGATCATGGCTCTTTTTCACATTCCCTTCTCTCCCAGCAATATCTTTTGACCCTGCACAAGCTGATTCCTCGGATTCATTTTGTTTACTGCATTTATATATATACAGTGTGTGTGTGTGTGTATATATATATATGCCGAGACGCTAAGGCATACTGGGGAAACTGCGGTGATAATAGCCACGCGGTTTGGGGAAATGCAGGAATGAGGGGGAAGTGGGGAAAATTACCCCCTTATTCCCCATCCACAAGTGTCAGTTCCACTGATGCAAGAGGCCACGTCATCCTCTTCTACCTCCTCCATGCCGCCCTGTGTGATCCATGTGCTGTTTAATCTTCAAGCTGCTCATGCTGAATTTCAATTTCAACCCACAGTCAAAACATTAATGGATATAATGAGAGAAAAGTTTCTGTTGAATAACCTTCCCTTATTCTCCCAATTTAGGAGAGGTGCCTAAGAGGAATTTCAGATGGCCTTTACGTATATCAGGCTTTCTTGGAATATATAGAAGAAACCTTTGTTAGTAAAGAACAAGAAACTGCATTTATATGGCCACGCACAAAGCACCTGGCTAATACCTTGAAGTCCATGGTAAATCTTATTTACTTTGAATCACACATGCCTCTACTCAATACCTTCTAATATTTATGCTCTGATTTCAGTAGAGAGTTTGTGCTGGTTTTTGTTGCTGATTGTTTTATTCATTTTAGTTTCTGTTGCTCATTACTCAGCTCCCACAAGAAATGGGGTAGTGCTTACATTTCCTTGACTGAAGTCCCTTTCTCCCCTGCCCCCACCTATCCATATTCCTAGAAACCATTACACACACTGACACACGCTCATCAGCTGAGGTCACCATGCATAGCTGGGAATTCACCAGTCTTCATTCAGTTGTTGCATTATCCATGGTGATGGCACTGGGAATGGGTAAAGGACCCGAGAGACCAACTTGTGTATGAAATGCCTTAGCAAAAGCTAGTTGTATGCAATTTAAACCTGGGTTAGAAGAGGACTGGGTGAGAAATAAATTTGTACGCCCAACTGGGCCCAGTTTAGGTTTAGGATGAGATGATAGCCATGAAGAATGCAGACACATCTATATCTGTCTAGATCATCTATGAAAAAATAGGAATATGGAGAGTGCTAAAGTAATGGCCTGTGGCAAATTACTCCATTCCATGTTATGGATTAGCATATGCTGAATGGATGTGTTTTTAGAATGCTATAACCTACCATGAGCCTACAGGATAGGATGGTGCATAATGAAATGTTAAGTATTACAAAGATGAAAGAATTACCAGCTATCATTACCTTGATTGCAAGTAAGTACAATCCATTTGTCTGGCCAAAAAGACTATCACCAATATGTTTTTATTTCCCCCTTCCTTAACAGATGAACACTCCAGATACTGTGAGCACGCCTAATCCAGCCACTAAGGAAGCCCTTTCTACACAGCTACGAGCGCATACTGGTTGGAATAGGAAGGTTATCCACTACCTCATACTTCAAAATTATATTTCATTTATGGAGAAAACTGTAAGGGCTATTCGTGCTGTGAGAGGCTGGGAATCTGAATGCCTTACGTCAGGTGCATAAATTTTCACATAATCTGCGATGACGCAGATACCACTGTTGTTCTCCTTTGAGAACTGAGCACATTAACCTAATATTCTTCTTGAATATGTTTATATTTAAAAATATTTATTCAGTTTAAGTACATATTTATATTTTTGAGAGTTGCAACCTGTTTTAAAATGGAAAAACTACAATATTTAAATTTTGGATGAGTATTGCACAGATTTCAGTATTGACTGAACATATGACTTGAAATGTATGGGTGTTATGTCTAAATTATGTATTTATATTTTATGAGAAGCTTTATTTAATATATATATATATATGAAATATAGATTTTTAATAAACATGAATTTTATACAACTTTCTCTTGCACTTTAATATATTACATCTTGTGTCATCTCCATACTGTTTATTTAAAAAATTTATTAAGCAAAATATTTAAAAATAACATCAGTCAGTGACAAAACATTAACAAGTATGTCATCTCCATATTAGATTCACTCTAGAGTCTCATTTCTTTTACTAGAACAAACTCTTGTTCAAACCAAAAGTGACCTAGAAAAGTTAAAAATGTAATATGGGGAAGTATATTTACTAGTCAATGACATTGGTTGAATGTAGTCACTACTTAAGAAACATCTGTAGGTCTAATGTAAATAAGAATACTTAGGCTGCAATCATAAGTACTTCTGTTTAGGAATAAGTAACCAGTGGGAGTGGTTTCAAGGAAAACATGCACAGGATCAAACTTAGATTATTTATTACTCAGAAAGCCAGTGTTGTGTAGTGGTTTCAGTGGGAAACCCAGATTTGAATCCCTGCTCTGCTATCAAAGCTTCCTTGGTGACCTTGAGCCAGGCACACATTCATAACCTAGCCTACCTCACAGGATTCTTGTGAGGATAAAATGGAGGAAAGGAGAATGATGTAAGCTGCTTTGTGTCCCCATTAGGGGAAAATATGGACTATAAATGAAGTAAAATAATTAAAATAAGTGACATGGATCTAAACATGATCCTCATACTTTATTTCAGTAATCCTTACAGTGATAGTTATAAGGTGAGAAAGTTGCTTGTCCAAGACAGCTTAGTGAAGATATGGCTGATATGAGACTTAAACTAAGGAATTACTTGTTTTCTGTATCACACT